ATATGAAATGATTGCAGGTATACTATGGATGTTGACTTATCATAAAAAGGGAAGGGTTGGATGTAAAGGAAGACATTAAAACATATATTGAAAGAAAAAAGTTTAATGTGAAAAATACCGTGAGAGATATTAATATTATTTTTAAAATGATGTATGAAAGAGGTAAGATGTAACAACAATTTAATAATCATCAATTAACTTATTATCCTGAATTTAAATTATAAAGAATATTATCAATATAATACATCTTAATTTATTATATGGATAAACAAAAAATAATTAGTGATATTTATTACGATAAAAGCGGTTATGGGTCTAAACAGCGCACACTTCAAGAAAGTAGAGAAAAAGATAAGTCAATAACCAAGGCTGATATAGACGATTTTTTCAATAAAAATATAGAAATCAAAACAAACCAAGAGGGCAGAATTCGTTTATACCGCCAAATGCATTTCACGAATTCCAATTTGATTTGTTCTTTATCAATGATATTCCTAATCAGAAAATGAAGGTTGGTGCTTTAATGATAGTATTCAAAGCAAAAGTGAAGGTGATGTAGCAATGGCACTGGTTGAAGGATTGAAAAAAATGGGCGGATTTTGTAAATTATTATCTACAGATGATGAAAGCGCATTAAATACAAAATCTATACAAGATTATCTAAAAGAGAAAGGTATAGAACACTACACAACAAGAAACCACGCAGCGTTCAGTGAAGTAGAAATTAAAACGTTCAAAAGAATGCTGTATAACAGAGTTGAAGCAGATGAAAAGAAAGGCAAACAAGATATTGATTGGCGAGACTACATTATTGAAATTTTATTAACATACAATAATAAATTGAAGCACACAAGCACCGGTTTTACACCAGCACAAGCAAAACTAAAAAAGAATGAATTTGAAGTAAAACTAAATATATCAATGAAAGCAAGACATTCCCGCACATATCCAGATTTAGATGTTGGAGACAAAGTTAAAATCAGAAGGAAAAACGGAATAACTGAAAAGCAACAAACCTCACACTGGACTAAAACAACTCATACAATAACTAGAATAGAAACTAAATTAGGACAAAAATATTATTCTGTTAGTGATTTTAACAAATCTTTGTTGAGGCATGAGATGTTAAAAATATAGTTTTAGACTAAAAAGGTTTAAAGAAATAATACCTATATATATTAGTGAAAATGTTCAGTGAAATTGAGCAAGAAAATATTATTAACGAATTCTTGAATACAAGATAAGTAAGCGAGATGTGTAAAATTATGAAAACTAAAATCATAAATTGCCCTTGTAAATTAGAAAATAAAAAGGTTGAATTATGTAAATTAAATTTACCTCAAAAAGTTATAACTAATATATGTGAATTTAATTATCAAGAGTGTGAAGACTGCAAAAATTTAAGGAGACGACCTAAAATTGTTGAAAGAGAAAATAAATGTAAAGCGATTGATAAACTGACATATATTCTTGTTAAATGTCATTTCTTTCCAGATGAAAAGGTATTGACAGAGGAGTTTAACTTTTCATTTAAAAAGATAGACTGTCTAAAGCAAATTTATCGGAGAATAGGTAATAATGATGTAGATATGGTAATTGAAATTATTAAACTGGAGAAATTCAACTTAGACAGAACAATCGCCGACTTTAACAAAGTTATTAAATATATGTTGTCGGAAATATTGTTGCTTTAATCAGTTTGTAGAATGTCCTGTATTTAAGATAATGCCGTTTGAAGAAGATTAACCCACAAACCTTACAATAGAAACATTGTAAGATGTATGTTTTGAAGGGGGTGTTATGGTTTTGGTCTGGTTGATAAGTTGCTTTGTGTTTCATTTGTTCGTTTCCTGTTAGGGTTTTTGTAATTATCTATTGTGTTGTTTGTTGTTTGGTTTTTTGTGTGGTTTGTTGTTTGGTGGGTTTTTCTATGAGGGTCTTACCCCAGAGCAAAAATAATATTTGTGTCTAAAACTATTTAAAGGGTAGATTGCTTAATATTGTAAGAGATTATGGAAAGGAAATATTGCGCGTGTTGTGGATGTCATAAGGATGGAAATGTGTTTACCGATAACTGTAAAACTTGTGAAAGGCAGAAAAAGAAAGACCAAAGAAAGAGACTGATAAAAGCGATGGATAAGCAACAAAACGAAATAGAAGAAGGAGAAAAACAATACTGCACACATTGTAAGATGAATAGAAAGATTGGGTTGTTTTCGGAAAATCAAAAAACTTGTGATTTGTGTAGAGAAAAAATGAAAATCTACTCGCAAACATGGAGAGATAATCATAAAGAGGAGATAAGCGAAATAAATAAAAACTATGGCATGAAAATATATTTGTGTGCTCTGTTTGTGATTGTGAGGGTAGATTGAAACATAAGGCGAGGCATGAAAAAACAAAGAAGCACATTGATAATTTTAAAAAAGATGAGGTTGAGGATAATTGAAATGGTTTAAGTTATTCTTGAAAAATGAATAACTTGAAACATTTTATTAATTATTATATGGGTTTTGGTAAGTGGATTGATAAATTATGTTGGGCGGGATTTGGAAAAGTGGGTATGCTGCTTGCGGGTATGCTACTGCTTGCTATTGATGACCTTAATCCCAAAAACCGTTCAGCCGCTAGAAGCGCTAGGACAGTGCCCGAAGCAACCTTAAACTTTAAACCTGATTTCACGCAAGACGGTCGGAATTCGATATTTCGGTAGGGGAAGCTGACACCTGGCAGGTTTAGCCAGGGGTTGGTGAATGGCTACTCTCCAAAGCAACAGAGAACCTCACAGGACTGTTATTCCAAGAACAAATTCCAAGCGGGTTCCAAGTCAAACTTGCAGCGTTGAATGGCTGCTGCCCGCGGCACGGCATTGGCCAAGCGCGAGCTTAATCTGCCGCACGTTGTCGTAGAAATTGTTCGCCAGCAAGTCCTTTGGAAACAGGGCTTGAGCCGTTCGAACTACAATCACGTGCTGGACAAAGCGTCGCGCCGGTACTTCCGTGTCAATCGCCCAAGCTTGGGCGGGGCAGCATGATCTGGTTGCTCTTCTGCCCAGCATAAGACGTGCTAAGCCCTGCACATAGGTTTGAGTGCGAACGTGCCCCCGGAGCGCAACGGCTTGCCGGAACCATGCGGATCTGAGGCGTGTCTGGGTTGTCATACATGAGACAACGAGACAGGCTGAGATGGCACCACGTGTACATGCTCCTGGCAAGCCACTAGCAAATCTCTTTAACTGAGCCAGAAACCGTACACTGGCTTGTTTTCCTATGGGTTGCCTGCCAAAACAAAGCCATCAAACGCGACACGGGGCTTCGTGCAATGCCGAAAAGCGCCCGGACGCGAATCGGACGAGGACACCTTGGCAGCTCAGAACGGCCGAGGGGCTTCCCTTCCCACTCAGGACTTCGTTGGTTGAGGAATTTATCCGAAGAAAGGTTTGGCTCACATCACCATAGGATTTAACTTTTTGGCTTGGCTCGCATCACTGTAGGTTTTAGGATTCTGGATTTGGGATAGGGTTTAGGCTTTTGGGTTTGGCTTACATCACTTTAGGTTTTAGGTTTGTGGGTTTGGGCGACGGGCTTTCGGTTTCGCACCCCCAAAGTTACGGACACGCGCCTGAGAGCCAATGAGAAAGATTTGAAGCATCAAAGCCTCCAAGAACCATGTAACCTCTGACTGAATGAATTGAAAAAACATCAGGCGCAACCGATTTCCAGGTGCACAGACAAACCGATTTCCAGGTGCAGATACGACACGCATTCCGCGCGGTCGTCATCCAACCAGGGGTCACTTTGCGGCAGCACGCTAGTGCCCAATCTTCGCCAGTGTTGGCGACTATCAGCAGAACTCGGTGTCGACACCCGCCGCTGCAGACACACAATGAAGAAAGCAATGTCAGCACAAGATTGGCTCACCCAAGCTAAAAATCCTGCCAGAAAAGTGTCTTTGCATTTTGATCAATGCTTAGTCTGCGCTTAAACATTAGCCCCCCATGGCTCCACCCAAAAAAGATGTTTTGCCAGCAACGTGTTTTCTAAAGTTGGCTTAAAATCACAAGGTGTTCAAGCTCAGAAAGAACTCCTTGGAGGCCGAACCCGCCCCCTCCCATTGGCAGAAAGCCACCCGCCATTAATCTAGGCCCTTTTGGGTCCAATCAAAGAACTGCTGTGGTCGTTTAAGTTGTATTTTCCAGCAAGAAAGCAAGGATCGAAGATGCTCTCCAGGTTCCTGTTTCTAATTGGGAAGGGGCCAAACATTCAAGGACGAGGACCGAAGGGGTTCAGGGGAGTCCTCCAAAAAACACAAAGAACAAAGTTTTTATAGCTTCCACCTCAAAGGAGTCGAGTGTCCTTAAGGGGTAAAACCCACCTGTTTCGACCCTCGGCTTCCCAAGCTCTGCGAGCAAAACAGGCCTTGCGCCGTCGCGAGCTATGCGGGCTTCCATGGCTCGAGTCAGCGTCAAAATGACTGGGGAGTGTTCATTCGTCCCATCTTGTTTTTTGACAGATGGTTTCTCAGGTTTGGGGGTATCGTCTTTCGAGAAAAACCAAAACACAAATGTGCATGAAACACTCCGACATGAAGCAAATCGGTAATTTTGAAGCTCCTATCATCTTGTGGATAAAGCATGTTTCTCAATGGAAGTAGGTCGAGAGTCGATGTTTGTCCGATTTGGTTCGTTTTCAGGCTGCACCTCTGTCTCCATAGGAGCGGCCGCACGAAGATCAAACCTGCTGTCGAGAGGTTCTGGCGCCACCTTTCGCCAACTGGGGGCCAACTGGGATGAATTTGGGGGCAGACTGGCAGGAGAAAGATAAGTGCTTAAATCTCTTGGGGCATGGAAAATGTACTAAACACATTCTCCACCCCCCGCTGGGCATACGTTATGAAAGGGGTCCCTCGGTCCAACTAACCAATTTTCGAACTGTTGAATTGAAGCCACAGAGAAAATTGAGCACCTTTCCAGCCCCAAAATCGCTCAACTGCCGAGGAGCGAGTGGAGACCCTGCCAGCCGACGGCACCTGGTTCGTCGCATAATGGGGGTCCCATTTTGGAGGTGGCCGCAATTGGATGTGTTTTGATTTCACGCACACACACACATTTCCACCTGCTCACTCAGAACAAGACTCTAGCCTACAAGAAACCCTGGCTCTGCCGGCAACCCCTCTGTGTGCTTGGCATCATCTCAATGAAAGACAGGAAGAACTGAACAACACGGCCAACTTAAACAAAGCGAAGCACTACGTGACACTGCACGTCGCTCACACACTTGCACCTCGTCTTGTCGAGGGCTCTCGGACTGCCTGGTCTTGGCTTCGACTCAGCTCACGCTCATGCTGCCACAGGGTTGTCCAAAATTAGTGGATATGATTGGATACACCCGCGAACAACAATTGACATTCACAAGGATCTCGGCTTCCAATAAGGAATGCAAAGACAGCATGAGCCGCAAGCAATCGTTTGCGTGGGATGGGTGACAGCGTGGAGAAGTTCCAGTCTCCGCCCACCATCCTGGTCACTGGCATTGCTCGCGGACAAATGTGCCGTCAACGCGTCCTGGTCTGCATTCCCTGCAAGTTGTCCCCGGCCTCGCAGGCAAGTGCTGCGAGAGCTGAAACTTGCGGATTGGACGCGGGGGCGACAGGAAACTGCAGCCCCGAACCGTTTGACAGATTTGCAGTGGTCATTGGGGCTGAAGGCTTGTTTTCCAAAGCCAGATTCAGCCGCTTTGCTTTGCAGCCCTGCAGCTCTGCATGCCTCTGGCGAAGTTCCGGACGCAGTAAAGGTCTCAGAGCACAGGTGACCGGGCGACCAACACCGTTGGCCTTGTAATTCTTGAACCAAGCGACCAACAAAAATGCCTTGTGAAAGCACTGCCTCACTTGAACAAGGGCGCACCAAAACCTGCACCGTGGGGCCAGCACACCTTCACCAGCCTTTCTGCAAGTCTTCCTCGTGGGAATCTTCCGTACACCCCAAAACCATAAATATGAAAATGGAAACTCCAGGCAGGTGGCAGAGGGCGGACAGAGCCGAAGAAACGAAGAGCCGAATCCCCAAGATGTCAAACGCACCGCAAACACCGTGCCCGGTCTGGGCGCGGCACGATGGAGCTCTGGGTGCCCCTCACCGAGCTGAAAGTACTGACCCAAACAGAGGCAGACACTTCACCCCAAAAGTCCCGTGTGGCAACCGGCCAGCATGCTCCAGCTTCAGACGCCTCCCAAGGGTTACCCAGTCGAGCTAGTTTTCACGAGACAGAATGATGTGGCAATCAGACTCTGGCTTTGGCTGATGAAGGAACCTTTTTAAAAACAGTCGAGCTCATGGCAGTTGAGCAAAGCGGTTTTTTCGTAGCTGGTTCCTCCCCTGAACGTGGAAAAACGATTTCACAAAGGGGTCCCTTCTTTTGCTTGATTATCAGACTCAGACTCAAGCAGGCAAGAAACACCCAAAACCAGGAACACGGGACCAAAGAGTTATTAGACCCCCTGCCCAACCCCGGCTGCGGCATCAACTACCTGCGCGATACGCTCGACCCTGTTTCTTGAGCCAAATTCAGTTCACCACAGACGGTCAAGCACTAGTGCAAACATCCCCTCAACTATACATGCAACACGTTGGACACTGTATTCTTGACTCCCCTCTCTTCAAGAGGACTACGGGCTGCATTTGCCGCACCTTGGGGCTGCGGCTAGTTAAGAAGATTGTGGCCATTTACCAGGCCATGAGCTTGCAAATGCTTAACACTCACACTTTTTATGCGAAATGTGTGATGAACTCACTTTTTACTTCCGCGGACATCTACGAGGACTTCAGGCAAATCCGTTCTGATGCCAAGCAACTTGAGTGCATGATCCCACTTTTTTGGTGCGAGTGCTTTGGTAAAAATGCCTGCGGCCTGCGATTCAGTCTTCACATGCTCGGGGCGCACACCGTTCCCAGGCGCTAGCGGCTCAGCGAGACATGCTAGATTTACCTTATGGGTCCAAGTAATTCCCCTCAATTTTGGAGAGTAAACTTTACGAGCAACCGGGTTGTGGCTTGATTTTTCGACCTACGATTTTTTCCCACAAGGGCAGGAAGCCCTTCCTGATACAAGGAGCGGGCGAGGGAAATCACTTCAGCTTCGGTGGTGGACCGAGAAACCGATGTGTGCCTCTTACTTAGAGCCCTGGAGAACTAGCAATCCTCCAGATGTGGACTTTGCATCTGACTCCCCTGCAAAATCAGCATCGGCATACAGCGCAAGTTGCAGCTGCTCTGGTTCGTCAAGCACTGTGCCAACTAGTTGGCATTTACAAGTGGGGTTTAAATAAGAAATCAATCGTAGTAATTGACGACAGTTATTCTTAGACCACTTGCTGACGCACGTTGCGAGGTCACCGATCGATTTGATGATGTCGGGTCGTGAGAGCCGGCCTAGCCATAAGGCTTTCATCAACACTTTGCATGCTTTAGAACCTAGCTCGCCTTCTGTTTGACTATCCTCG